GGTCCGGGCTGGGGATTCGAACCCGCCACCTTAGGTGTATGTGGCTGGCGCCTTAGCCGGTTGAGCTATAGGCACCGAGCCTTGTTTCATTTTTATTCTGCTGTTAGGAATCAATAGATTACGTTTCTGTACTTGCTTCCTTTTTTTCCAGTTCATGATAGGAGGTTTTGCAATGCCCAAATCTTACTTACAGCTTTGTGTCAGGGTTTCTTAAGCACGTCTTTATCATGCTAGTTTTCATTTATTGGCGTTCACGTGGTACTTGAAATACACAAAGGATATATACTATTGCTTTATTTCCAAGGCAATAAAATTCTGGTCCAAATTGGTCGCTAGTTTTAAAGCTCTGTGATTATTTTAAGTTATAAAAGTGTCTTGGTTTTCTTAATGAACTGCTTAGATATGTTAAATTCTTACTATATTACTTTAGTTAATACTTATGTGTGGAGATCATCTTTTAAAATGAAATGCTTTTGCTTTTGTAGCCCTGTATCAAATCAGTCACTTTTATCAGAATCTGTAGCATCTTCCCAAGTGGACAGTACCTCTGTGGATAAAGCAGTACCTGAAACAGAAGATCTGCAAGGTTTGCATATGAACTAGCATGTATTTTGTCATTTATTTAACATTTGAGTATTATAGGCCATACACTATCCAGCTGCATGTATAAAAAGTTATCTACTTGAAAAACATATTTTTCTGCTTCTTTTCTTTATGAACAAAATAGTTTATATCCTCAAGTATTTAATTTTCTGAATGGTTAGCAGTCATTTCTCACAAGTAATTATTTCATCAGTATAAACATTGAAAACTCAAAATTTCATTTAGCTTGAATAATATAGTTAGATGAACAAGTGACAGCATGAGACTATTCTCTTACTAAAAATTATTTGCTCTCCAAGCAAACTGAGGCTGCTGATTTGAGGAGAATCTGTTCTCTTGTTTTTGACTCACCTTGGCTGGTATTCACCCATCCTTCCCCATCTGTGATTTATAGTGCAGGAGCCACTTTCAGGTGCGTGGACTCATTATCACAGTATCTTCTGTTCTTGCACATGCCCTTCATACCCCGTTGTTTGGATCAAAGAAACACAGAAGGACTTTTGTATTTCTGTGGAGGCTTTCCCAGTGGGGAGAGGCAGTGCAGAAGAGGCCATTCAGGATATGTCATAGGAATTATTGCTGAACTAGTTGTATTCTGGTAGTGTGTGGAAACAGTGTATTAACAGAGGAAGAGTACTCTGGAAAGACAAGCCCAAGGGTGAGCACTGTGTCATTCTGCCTAGCCCGTGTGACTTTTCACTGTGCGTGGTGTTCACATTATGATGACAGACAAATCTGGCAGTCTTTAAGTTTGCTAAATTTTAAATTTAGGTAAGCTAGTTAATTTCCAATTAATCTAATTAATTTATGCCCAACTAATGCTTGGCATAATTTGGCTATTTGTATAAATTTTGCAGTAGCAAAATACTACTATGTAGTAAACATATTCTAGTCCACATAGCATATTATTGTAAATTCATAAATATTTTAAATAAGTGATTTTTTAGTTAAGTAGAAAATTTTAAGGGAGGGACAGAGATGAGGGATTTTTTTTTTTTTTTGAGACAGAGTCTCAAGCTATTGCCCTGGGTAGAGTGCTGTAGCGTTACAGCTCATGGCAACCTCCAGCTCTTGGGCTTAAGTGATTCTCTTGCCTCGGCCTTCCAAGTAGCTGGGGCTATAGGCACCCACCACAACACCCAGCTATTTTTCTGTGGCAGTCATTGTTTCCTCAGCTAAGCCCGGGCCAGATTTGAACGTGCCAGCCTCAGTGTATGTGGTTGATGCCCTACCCACTGAGCTACGGATGCTGACAAGGTGAGGGATTTTTAAAAGTAGGGAATAAATCCTCTGGCTCGGTGCCTATAGAGGCGCCAGCCACGTACACCTAAGGTGGCGGGTTCGAATCCCCAGCCCGG